GGGCTGGGAAAGGAGCGGACAGGATGAGGTCACCTGGGTGCTGGGGCAGCACTGGCTCAGGTGGCTCCCATGTCATTTCAGAAGCAGGGAGAAGAGGGACTCTTCCTAATGGGAGGTTGAGTTTGATGCTCACCTGCTGTCACCAGGGGCTAGTCTAAGCTCTTTATATATAACAACTCATTTCATCTGCACAGCCAGCCCAGGAGGGGGCTGGGGGTGCTGTGTTATTCCCAGATAAGAACAGAGAGACTCAGAAAGTCTCCCAGAGGCACACAGGCAAGCGGGGCAGCTCCAGGCTGCTCGGTCCACAGCTCGTGCCCCTACCCATCCAGCCGCCCTGCCTGGCAAGTTCATTCAGAGGAGGACATGCACCAGGGGTGGCACCGAGGCCACGGGGATTCTGGATTGAGGCACTCTAGAGCCCCCCCAAGACTCTCTGCCACACTCAGAGATGCACCCCAAGCCTCCCCCGCAGACGGGTGGTTGGATGAAAGGCAAAGAGCCAGGTGATCCCTGTGTAGCTTTGGACAGATCAGGCTCCCGCTGGGTCTCAGTCACCCCATCTGTTCAATGAGGGGGTCTCAAAGTCTTCCCAACCCTTCGGTTTCCAGGTAGGGTGTCCCCCGTCTGTCAAGTACAACCTGAGTTGGGGGTGCAGGAGTTTGAGATTAGGCTGGGCATCGCTGCCCCCGGGTGGACATGGGTGGTATGACAGCAGCCAGGATGCCCTCCACCTCTGGCTTCCTCACAGGCCCTGCTTGGAGAAGGCTGTGTCCTTGAAGTGTATTTCCTGAGAAAGGCCACTCCCACATGCCATCTGTGGCCTGAGATGCCACCATCATTAACACCGCATGTTGGGTTAAGCGTCGCCCTTCAATTGCCTTCCCAAGGGCAGAGCATCAGAACCCCTGACATGCTAGCAAAAGGGTCTCAGAACTGAGGGACAGAGGATACTGACAGGGAAGGGCTAAAATTCAAGCCCCAGAGCCCCCGCCCAGCTGGCCCGGCGGTGGATGTGGGCCTCCAGCCCTCAGAATGTGAGGGACACAGGCCAGCGGTCCCACGCCAGGCCCTCCACCATCAGATCCAGCTGAGAGGGGCCCCCAGCCTCGGTCCGCACAAGACCTCCCACTCCCAGCCCAGGCAGAGGGCACGGGAGGAATAAGGAGGCCTGGAGTGATTCAGGGGCCAGGAATGGGAAGGGGAGACGGCTCCTCAAACCCTGCCCAGGTCCCGTGCTCTCAGTAAGCCCCCCGCCAAATCCCGGTCCCCATCACCAAACCCCAAACCCCTCACTCAGCCCCCAAACCCTCTCTCAACATCTAGTACTTTCATCTGACTTTGAGGAGAAACACTGCCAGCCCCCAGGCCCGCCTCCTTAGTGGGTCCCACCCAAGATGTAACACTTGCCCCCCGAAAGTCCTGTCCCAGCAACTAAAAATTATGGGCCCCGGTCAGTGGCACCTGCCCTGTTTCTCAGGCTCTCACCAACAGCCTCCCCGCTTGACTCCCAACCTTGGCATTGCTTCTCCTGGCATTCCCTTCCCCTGAGCCCAGCCTCTGCCAAGTCACCCATGGTTATTTTTCCAGCACAGTCTGGCCCTGAATGGCTGGGGGACATTAAGTGCCCAGATCCTGGGAGGCCCTGCTCCAGGCCCTGGAACACACGTGCTTCAGCGGGATAAGGATGGGGGTGTCTGGCATCGTCACAGTCTCAAGTCCTCATGTTCGTTTTGGACATGGAATCTGCAGAGAAGCCACCCTTTCCCACCTGCCCCCTATCAAGCTCCCACCCAGAAATAACCTCTTCTCGTTTGGGGCTCCCAGCTCTTGGCCCAGAACACTCCAAGGAACACTTATCACCCAGCCAGGCAGGTAGGTCCAGCAGTGCTGAACAGGGTCTTATCCTCTCTGTGGCCCCAGCCCTAGCACAGCGCCTACGCACCGGAGCTGCTCAGCGAGTCTGGGAAGAATGAAGGAATGAAGGGCTTCTGTGTCCCTGGTAAGTCAGTGCCTCACAGTCTGGGCAGGCAAGAGTCACAGCTTTAAGTTAACCCAACACCAAGCCCCCTGCCCTCCAATCACAGCAATCCACTCCCCCAGGGCGCCCTTCTGCAGTTATTCCCAAGTCCCCCTGGGGCTGCTTCTTCAATCTTGGTGGCCAGAAAATCAGGTCAGCCAGCCAAGTGTCAGCGCCATAACTTTAGGCATTTGGAGCCCCTGGAGTGATGGCGTCCTCTGGCCGATGGCTCCCTGCACCAGGGCCAGGTCAGGAGGGGCCGGCACTAGCCGTGCGCACTCCCAGAGGCAGCTCCCACCTCTGCCCCAGTTGTTCCCAGTGACAGCACAGTTTTCTCCCTGGCTGCCCTAAAGCCATCTCCGGGGTCCAGAACAGGCACTCATCGTGATCCAAAGAACATTCCCCAATGTCTCTCTCAGCCATTCAGTTGTGCAGAACCTGACATGCGGAGGGGCCACAGCCAGGGCCAAATCGCCCATCAGTACGGTGGGCGCAGTGCCTGGAGCCCACAATAACTTTAAGGCCCACAGAAATGTTTTAGTTTCTCTTAAAATTGGCAGGAAAAAAATGAATAGAATCCAAACTGGATTATACTAGTCTTTATACCCACGCAGTCATAAAACATAAAATTCTTAATATTTTTTGGTGGAGGAAGGGGCCCACAAAGGCAAAAGGGCCCAGTGACAGTCCAGATTCAAGCTTTCTCATGAGAACCAGATGATCAATAACAATAATAATAACAGCCAATATTTATATAGTGCTTGCCCTATGTCAGGCACTCCTCACAATAACCCTATGAGGCTGGTACCATTTTTTAATCTCCATTCTATAGATGAGGATGTGGAAGCACAGAGAGGTTGAGTCACTAGCGCAAGGTCACACAGCTAGGAAGTACTGGCTCTAGGTGTTCCGTCCTTTGGGAATATGGTCCAGCACGAGGCAAAGCACTCAACATCCCATCTTCAGCATCTGAAACAGACTAAGGTGACCTCAGTTTTCTCCAAGCACAATTGCTGACGCTGTCTTACATAAAGGACCTCAACTGGTAAACGTCTCAAAACAATGAAGTTCCCCTAAAGCTGATGCTGTCTGCACCTTCCAGAGCAGCCAGCAACCTCCCTCTCCAAAAAGGTCAGTTTCTCTGTGAACATTCCAAAAGAAAAAAAAGGAATGACTTTTCACCTGGTACCTTACTACCTATGTGCCTGTGCACTTTTGTGGCTATTTCTATATCAGAGTACATTTTGAACGTGTGGCTCGGGGCTCTGAGAGTGACTGTGTTTATAACAGACTGCTTTCTATGTATGACACTGGTGTGTGTGTGTCTGTCTGTCTGTCTGTCTGCCTGTCCCTGTATGCTTGTATATCCATGGGCTTGTACACGTGACTGAGATGAGCGCCTGGACCTTGCTGTCTCTCTGTGTGTGTAAATCAGTAAACTCCCATCCACAGAAGCCCAGCTAATCATCTCCCCAAGTTGTTTCCCCAAGAGAAACTGAGGCCGCAGAAGTTGGCCAAGGTCCAGGGTCCAGCAAGTCACTGACTGCGACAGAAACCAGGAGTCTTGTCTCCTGCCCCCAGAACCCTGGCAACCCCCAATACCTCCCTAGCTCAGCCTGTCTCTCTTTACGATGTCAGTCCCCAGCCCAGGGTGACCCTTTGCAGAGTTTGGTGACCAACAGCTCTGGGTCTGAGGTGTGGTGGGCAGTAGTCACTGACCAGCCTCTAGAAGGCAACAGAATGTTCTCGCAGCGAGTCTGAGGTCCCCCAGACACCCCAGTTCTGAGGCCTGAGGCCATCACCCCTACACACACTCCCTCGCACTCCCTCTCTGCTGTTGCTTTTTCAGTCAAAACTTTATTGATTTTTAATATGACCAAAGTAACACACACTTGTTTTTAAAAAGGATTTAAGCTGTAAAAACGTGTGAGTTAAGAGTCCTCCTCTACCCCCAGCTCACCACCATGACCGGCAGGGTGTGTAGCGTTCTGAATTTCTTTATTAGGAAATAATTCCTAATGGGACCAGTGGGCCCAGCTCAGAAAACAACTTCCTAGGAGCACGAGAATGAGTCAAAAGAGGACAAAGGGGAGAAGTCGGGCCTCAGGACAAGTGGATTAAACCAGATGCTCCGAGAGCCAGGCTGAGCCCAAACTGCTGGGGCTCTAGCTGGAACTTCTGGGCACACATCACAAACCCAGATCTGCACTCGGCCTTGACATCCAAGTCATGGAATTTTAGGACTGAAAGGAGCCTGAGAGTCCATCTGGTCCTACCTGCCCATTTTAGAGACGGGGAGACTGAAGACCTTGCTGGGAGACAACTGAGCTGGCTCCAAGTAGGAGCTTAGCCCACGCCTCAGCCTCCATCCAAAGCCTGGGGAGGAGGTGCTGGAGAGCAGGGGGTACCCCAAGACCAAACAGTATTAGTTGAGTAAGGGAGAAAGAAAAGGACAGGAAGCAAAGAAAGAGCTATAAAGACAGAGAAGGAAGCGGTGCATCACAGGAGTTTGCGGCCCCAGACTGACGTTAGAAGCGCTGACTTCAAATCTTGGGTCTGTTGTTGCCCAGCTGTGTGACCCCAGATTGCCCCCGACCCTCTGAGTCTCAGCTTCGTGAAGTTTCATGAGCGAACAAGAGTGTCTACCGCGAGGTGTTGGGAAAATTAAGTGACTGCAAGAGGTATTGGGCACGGCACCCGGCACAATAAATGACAACTAAAAAAAATGAGTCAGGCCAAGCAGCGTGGCAGGGCCCCCAAAACCTGCAAACGCCAGATTTGCTCTGTCTCAGGATATTTGGGAAACTCATGCCTCCAAGCCAGCTCCATCTCCTGCGCAAATTAAACAGTAACCAGCCAAGGTCAGGGAAAGGGCCTTGACAGAACAGGTTCCTCCCAAGGGGTGGCTCAGCCTTGACGAGGTGGGTCCACCCTCCTCCTGCCTATAAGTGCGGACCTGGTCACCGCGACGGCCACTCGATCCCGAGCACTCACGACATGCTGGGCGTCACCGTCTTCACAGTGCTCCTGGCCTACAGTAAGCTGCGGCTTGGGGACCAGCTGCAGCCAGCGGGCTGTGAGCTTGGGCTGGCCTCCCGGGGACAAGGATGGGGTCAGGGACCCTCTGCTCTCCAGGGCTTCAGGAAAGGAGCTTTGGGGTCCCATGTGGGTTCAGCTACTACTGACCAGCTGTGTGTCAGATGAGCCACTTGCCTGCTTGGCGACTCTGCTTCCATATCTGCAAAATAGGATTCATGCTCCTCACCTCAGGGTGAGGATGAGCCATGAGGTATGGAAAGCACCAGGGACGCAGAAGGTGCCTCATCCCGAGTTACCCCGGGGGGCATCAGGGCCTACCTTTCCCAGCATCGGCATCTCTCATTTGGGGATTCTTTGCTCCCCCCGCCATGCTGGTGACCTCCCAGATTGGGAATCGAGGAACTTGGCTCGAATGTCACTCTCTCTTGGCGGGACCTGGACAAGCCACTTCCCCTCTCTAAAGCTCACTGGCTCTTCTGGCAAGTGAGAGCACTTGATTAAGAGTCCTCCAGCTAATAACAACAGTGATGATAATAATAGCTGCTCCTGTGTACCCCATGTTTGCTATGTGTCGAGCGCTGTGCTAAGCCCTTGACGTTCAGGAGCCAATTTGATCCTACAACAACCTTGAGAGGCGGGGCCTGTTAATATGCCCATTTTACAGATGAGGACCCCGAGGCTCAGTGATGCTCAATATCTTGCTATCTAAGATCACACGGCTGGTTAGTGGTAGAGCCAGAATTTGAGTCTGGGTCTTCCTCACTGCACAGCACTTGCTCTTGACTGTGCCACACAGCTCCCCAGCTATGACAGTCTGGAATTCTGTAGATTCAGTGCTCGCACACCCGCACTGTGCTGTGGCCTGAAATGGGACAGCAGGGTAAGGTTGAAGGACACAGGTGTACCTGGGCACTCACACACAAGCCAGCCACTTTAGGTTTCCTTCAATGATTCGACATTCACTCTATACCAGGTCTTTTGCTCAATTCTTTACCTGCGTCATCTAATTTAGTTCTCAGGACGAACTTACCAGGTTAGCGCTAGTCTCCCCGTTTCACAGAAAGGGAAGTTGAGGCCCAGCAAACTCGATGGCTTCCCCAAAGCCATGCAGGAAAAGTCAAACCCATGTCTGCCCAGCCCCCAAATGTGCGCTCTTTCCACCTGCCCCTTCCCCAAAGCAATGCCAGCCCGGCTCACCTGTGCTCTTCCTCTCCTGTATCCCCAGCCTCCAGCTGCGGGGTCCCCATCTTCCAGCCCAACCTATCAGCCCGGGTGGTGGGCGGAGAGAACGCCGTTCCCCACAGCTGGCCCTGGCAGGTAAGCGTGCTGCAGCAGGTGGGGAAGGCAAGGTGGAGGGGGGTGGGGAGCAGGTCCCTGGGGGCTGACACGTGGTCCTTCCCCATCCTCCCCCAGATCTCCCTCCAGTACCTCAAGAATGGCGTGTGGAGGCACACCTGCGGTGGCACCTTGATCACCCCCAGTCACGTCCTCACAGCTGCCCACTGCATCAGGTGAACGGGATGCTGCCCAGACACCCCACCCTCGCCCGGGAACAGGAGCCTGATACGCTGCTTTTCTTGAGCACGCACTCCAGACACTGGGCTGAATAAGCTACTCCCATCCAGTAACTCAGTTGTTAATTTATTCATTCCACAAGTATTTACTGTGCGCCTACTATACGCCAGGGAACACAGCAGTGAGGACACAGTCTGTGCTCTCAGGGAGCTTATATTCTAGCGGAAGACAGAGTGACAGACCATTCAACAAGTAAATATATAACAAAGCAAGTGGCAATGAAGAAAAATAAAGCAGAAAGAGAATAAAAAGTATGAGGAGTTCTATTTTAAATGACGTGGCCGGGGGAAGGTCTCTCTTGAAAGGAGTTGTTTGAGCAAAGACCTGAAGGAAATAAGGGAAGACGTCATTGGTCTGGGGGTAAGGTGTTCCATGTGGAGGGAACAGCTAATGCAAAGGCCCAGAGAAGGGAGCCCACTTGGTAGGTTTGAGAAATAAAGTGGAAGCCGGTGTGGCAGGGGCATTTTGTGTGAGAGGAGAGGAAGAGGCGGTTAGAGAGGAATGCAGGAGAGAGAATGCAGGCCAGCAGCATGTGGACTAGCTCATCTTCACAGCAGCCCTGGCAGGTGAGTTCCAAGATTATCTCCACCTTACAGGTGAGAGAACTGAAGCCGAGCCTACCCACCTAGCAGTCAAAGTGGACTTGACTCCAAGACCAGGGTCCTTACCCTGCGCCCTGGGAAGGGTCAATGGGATGAACACTCCCTTCCCCCGAACAAGTCCCACGGTGGCCCCAAAGCTGGGTCACTAAAGACCCAACTTCCCCCTCTACCCCACCGGCCGGTGGGGACAGGAGGCCACCCTGACCTGGTCCCCTTCCTCTATCCAGCAATACCCTGACTTACCGCGTGGCCCTGGGGAAGAACAACCTGGAGGTGGAGAATGAGGAAGGCTCCGTGTTCATGGGCGTGGACACCATCTTTGTCCACGAGAAGTGGAACTCCTTCCTAGTTCGGTGAGTGCCCAGCTGGCCATCTCACAGCCCCCTGGGAGCAGCTCAGAAGAAGGAGGCGTCCCTGAGATGCAGCCTGAGCCTGTCCCTGGACCCCATCCTTAGCCTGAACAGCCAATAGATGATGACTTTACGCAAAATGGCAAAATGCTAAGTGGAGATGGACACCCCTCCAATACCCATCACTGGCCAAGGGTCTCTGGAAAGTACACAGGGAATAAGGATCCTGAGGCTCCCACAGTATATTACCTGAAGTCTCTCAGCCAGAGGATGAGCCAGCACTCACCTTTACTGATGCCTGCTGCACGCTCGCATTGTAATAAGCAGCTTACATGCCATCTCTTATTTAATCCTCACAACAGCCCCTAGACAAGGAACCGAGGATCAGAGAGGTTAAGGAATGTGTCCCAGGTCACACAGCCCAGTACATGGCAGAACTAGAAATCAAACCAGGCTCTCTCTAGGGTTGTCCATTTTCAATCTGGCAACACGAAAACGTTAAAAATTGCATCCGCAAGTGTTTTTATCGTTATAATTTCCAATTTGCTTAGCTGAATTTCAGTTGATACATAACCTTGCAGTGGTTCAGAATGCTTCTGCTCTTGTCTCCCCTCTGTTAAGCCTTTCATGATGTGAAGACACAAGGTGGCGCGGGGGGGGGGGGGGAGGGGGGAAGAAGCTACACCTACAGGAGCGGGTGATGGGGTTAGAAGGCAGATCATTGGTCCTCCGGCATCTCTGTCTGCCAGTGAGAAGCTGGAGGTCCAGGATGTTTATGGAGGACCCCTGCTCACCCTTGGCCCGACTCCCAGCTCACAGCCTGGGCCTCTTAGCATTGGCTTGAGGGAGCAGGCCCTCCTGCCATTCACCACCTCCACTTTGGATTCCAGCAATGACATTGCCCTTATCAAACTGGCGGAGCCCGTGGAACTGAGTGACACCATCCAGCTAGCCTGCCTGCCAGAGGAGGGTTCCTTGCTGCCTCAGGGCTACCCCTGCTACGTCACTGGCTGGGGCCGTCTCTGGAGTGAGTATAGCCCCTGGCCAGACACGAGTGTCTTATTGGAGGAAGCAGCTCCCACGATAAGCACATCACCCACATTTGCCCACCACTTCCCTTTTTGCCTTAACATCTTCACATCTTTTTAAATTTTGTAATAATGGTTAATATTTATTAAGCATATACCATGTGGCAGACACTCTAACAAGCGCATATAAAGGGTGTTATAAGGATTAAACGGACTAGAATTTGTCAAGGGCTTAGAACAGGGCTAGGCACATACTAAGTGCCATGTCAGTGACTATTAAATAAATGAAACTAACCATTTTGGGGTGGGGGATTAGATCTTATGATCTTATGTTATACCACACGCCCAAGTAAATTCCAACTGAATTAAAAGGTTAAATGCAAATAAATGAAACTACAGAATACTTAGATGAAAATGCAGATCCTCTAAAATTTGGAAAGTTTGGGGGTGAGAAAGACCTTTCAATGTGTGACACCAAAGGCAGAGAACTACAGGGAAACCATTGGCAATTAAAACCCCAGAACCCAAATTAAAGATAACTCAGTGGTTATTTCTTAAGGGTTTTCTATGGGTTGGTTCTGCCTTCCCTGCGCTTAGAGGGGTCTCTAACCCAAACAGTTCAGGACCATTGGCTCAGAGTCTCGCCTCTCAATTAAGGGCCTGTGTGTGGGTCCCTCAAAGTCTATCCAGAACTCGCCCGGTCATGTCCCAGCCCCATCCAGCCCTCTGTTCCCTGAAGGCCTGGGCCTGGGCTGGGGCTGAGGCTGCCTGGGCTGACCGCCCGGTCACCACCCATTCTCTCTCCAGCCAACGGCCCCATCGCTGACGAGCTGCAGCAGGGCCTGCAGCCCGTGGTGGATCACGCCACATGCTCCCAGAGAGACTGGTGGGGCAACAACGTGAAGGACACCATGGTCTGCGCCGGGGGTGATGGCGTCATCTCAGCCTGCAACGTAAGTGTCGAGGCGCTGCCCCACGTCTCTACTGCAGGTGGCCAGATGGAAGGGGGCAGTGAGGAGGGCAAAGGAGTGAGAAGTGGGGAGGCGCCACACCCTCTCCCTGGGGGGAGACTGAGCCCCGGCTGGTCCTAAGAGGCTTAGGAGAAACTTGTCACTGTCCCCCTTCCCCTCCCCCACCAGCACTGTGGCCAGAGCATGAAAGTTGAATGTGAGTCTGAGTCCGAGTCCCAGCCCCCCTACTTCACAGCTGTGTAACCTTGGGCAGGCTGTTTGACTTATCTGAACCTCAGTTTTCCCATGCATAGAATGGAGCGGTAGTGAGCACAGGGCTGTTACGAGGACTAAGTGAGTCTAACGCAGGTATAAGAGACTTCGGTGAAGTCCGGGCACACGTTCCTTCATACCATCAGCTCCGTTGGTCCAGGGAGACAGAAGACTCAGGGAGTCTGACACAGAATGAAGAAACATCTAGGACAATCAGGGACTGTCCCGTTTTCAAACACATGAGCCTCTCCCCACTTCCATTTTCTTCCCTTTCCCGGGTCTCCTACACGGCTCCCAGCATCCTCATCCCTCTGGGCAGCTCAGAGTCTTAGGCATGGTGACCTGAACAGCTAGGGAAACCAAGGCACAGAGAGGGTTCTCAACATCTCAAGATCACACAGCAAAGCAAGACCTAGTCTGACACCCCAGGGCCCCCCAGAATAAGGCCAAGTTACCCACAAACCACATTTTCTCTGCCTCCCTCACTATGGACACGCTGAGGCCAAAACAGGGGCTACCAAGGCTGAGAGGCCAACCCATATGCCCCACCCTGACCCTCACCTGCTTCCCGAGCCTCCCTCTGACACCCGCCCCGTCTGGTGCAGGGGGACTCGGGCGGCCCACTGAACTGCCAGGCCAAGAACGGCTCTTGGGAGGTGCGGGGCATTGTCAGCTTCGGCTCCGGGCTGAGCTGCAACACCCTCAAGAAGCCCACGGTCTTCACCCGCGTGTCCGCCTACAACAACTGGATCAACGAGGTGGGTGCGCCTCCCCTGCCCCCTCCCCTCCACCCGCCCCTCACCCTCCCTCGCCCTTCCTTCACTGACTCCCCTACTCACTCTTTCACTCACTCCATTTACTCACTCACTCCTTCAAGAAGTTTTGATCGAGTGCTTATTGCATGCGGCCTTGAGTCAGGGGCAGTGAAGCAAACGGCCATTCACTTCCCCACCCTTTCATCCATCAGCAAATACTTCTGTCCCAAGCCCAGGCTCCCCACCAGTGCCCCCAAATGTGAAGCGTGGCCCCAGCACAGGAGAGGGGGCAGCATGGATGGCCGTCTACATTTTGAGGGTGCGGGGACAGAGAGTCACCCTGGGCTGGGGGCTTCCACCCTGGGAGCAGGAGGTATCCTGAGCTCACCTGCACAGTGGTCGGAAGTGCCCGAGAGGGCCAGACCCCTCGGGCAGAGGCAAGCCTGTCTTGTCAAGGCCCGGGGCTGCCGGCCATGCTCCTACCCTCCCGGCAGAGCCTCACACCCCCCAGAGTCCCTCACTCTGCTCTCTGCTTCTCCAGAAATTACAGCTGTGATTCATCCCTGGGAGCCAAGGCCGCAAACCCCGGCAACCACAATAAACCTCCTTTCCCCTCAAGCGACCTGTGTTCTTGATTTGCGCGTCCCCTGCGGGTTCCCGGGCTCTCTAGGGGCTGCCCGTTTCCATACCAGGGGTGCAATGAGAGATCCCCCTCAGCCAGGCTGGTTAGGCCTTGGAAGGAGCTGCTGGGGATGCTGGTGGAGGGGGCACCCCCAGGAAGCCACCTGGTGCCTGAGGGAATATGAGTTAAGGACACACCAGGCACCTGCCCCATCCCCGCACATCTCATAAGCCGTGAACCACCGGGCCCTGATCAGACTGCAATGGCTTCCACACATAGTCACAGCAGGTCAGAGGTGGGAAAGCTTGTACTGCACGAGACAGGCAGGGAAGCTCAGGCCCAGAAAAGGAAAGAGCTGGGCCAGATCACAGGAGCAGACAGCCGGTGATGCACAGGCAAGAGGCTCAGGGCAGGGCCCTCTGGTCCTGAGGCCGACTGGAGGGCAAGGGGTCCAGAAAAGAGAGGGACCCAGTGTCCAGTGAGGTACATCCAAGCGGGACACCCGACCCCTGACCATAGGGTCTCTGGTCCAGGGCGCTCCTGGGGATGTGCTGCTCTATGGAGAGAGGTACCCCCAACCCGGCCGCTGAAGTCCTCCTAGGAAAGCCATCAACTACGGCTGCCTCTGGTTGGTCCATGAGTTGTCCAGTTTCCCCATCAGACTTTGGTTCCTGGAGATGGGGACCATGGCCTCCCACGATGTCCAGCTCATTCTCAAAAAATACTTTATTTTCTCAACCAGCAATGGGGCCTACAAGGAGCCCAGCACCAGCTCAGCCATAGGAATCCAGGGATGGTCCAGAGAAGATCCCTGCTCTGCAGGAGACAGACTCATAAACAGATCACTGAGTTCCCTGGTGTAAGTGTGAAGGTAGGAATACAGTCCAGGAGCATGGCAAAGGGACACTTAAACCAGTGAGAGTTGGCAGGAAGAGTCCAGGATGGCTTCCTAGAGGTGGTGACGCCCAGCGTAATGTATTCTTTACATTTGAGTAGAAGGTACCAAAATACAGAAGATGCTGCTGGTTGCTTGACCCAAACTTCGTTCCCAGCCTCCTCCTTTTGTAGTTGTCTCTATACTGGAGGCTAAAAATGCTAAATTCTTGCTGTCCCCAGGTCCCTTGCAGTTATAATATCAAAGTAATAGCTAACACTTACTGAACACTTCCTCTGTGCCAGGCCCCGTTCTACAGGTTTTACACGTATTACGTCACTATTAACATCATCCCCATTTCACAAATGAGAAAACTGAGGCTAGAGATGGTTAGTGACTTCCCAAGGTGATTTACCTGCGAGGTGATGGAGCTGGGATCCAGACTTTGTTAATCTGGCCCCAGAGCTCATGCTCTTGACCACCACGCTCTACTGCCCTGTGATGAATACGAATATGGATATGATGCCTGGAACTAAGGCAGCCTTCTTGTGGCGAAGAGAATTACAGAGACATGAGCTCAGACATCATCAAGCTGCAGATCTGATGCCAGCAACCGTTCTCTGAATGTCTAATTATGTAAAAACTAAATAAACCTGCATTTGTTTTAACCACTGTAGTCCAGTTTTCAGCTACTTGCTGCTCAGCACAGTCCTAAGTGATACCCTGGGGGATAACATAAGGGGTCACTTTCCTGACTGAGGGAAGGCCATAAGCAAAGTCATGGTAACTGCTTGGAAGAATCTCCAAGCAGAAGGTGTTGCTAGAGCATAAGGCACAGGGCAGGGATTGGGTGACCAGTGGTCCTGGCACTGAGTAGTTTTCTAGGAAGTGGTACTTTCAGTGCTGTCCCAGGCAAACTGGGATGGTCAGTCACCCTAACAGAGAGGGGCAAGAGATGTGGCTAGAGAGTGAGAAAGGCCCTTCCTGGAAGGACTTGTAGCCATGGTAGAGGGTTGTTGGGACTTTATCCTGAGGGCAATAGGGAGCCGTAGAGTGGTTTTAGATAGAGAAGTGATCTCTGTGGTCAGATGTACACACTAAAGCATTCATCTGACAGCGCTATGGAGGGTGATTTGGAGCAGAGGCAAGAATGGAGGCAGGGAGGCCAGTTAGGAGGCCGCTGCGATGTTCTAGGCCAGAATCAATGGGGCCCCAACCATCAAGCTGCAGATGGAAAGGAGAGATAGGTTCAGTAATTCAGTAATTATTTAAGAGGCACATGTACAGTGTTGGACAGCAGCATCCCCCCCCCAGTGCCAAATCTATATAAATTTTGGGAACGTGATTGGATTATCAAAGCTACTTTTTATTAGCTAATAAATGGTAAAACATAAGCCACAGTTCTGTCTGTTCAACAAGAGTGTAAAATTCTCAGATTCAGGGACAAGATCCACTGTTATATACAAGGGTCAATGCCTATCTGTGGTAGACAAAATACTAGCCCTCCAAAAATGTCCATGCCATAGATCCCAGAACATATGAATGCATTACCTTACGTGGCAAAAGGGATTTTGCAGGTGTGATTAATTGAAGGACCCTGGGATGGGGTGATTAGCCTGGATTATCCAGGCGGGCTCAGTGGAATCACAAGAGTCCTTTTTTTTTCTTTTACATCTTTATTGGAGTATAATTTCTTTACAATGGTGTGTTGGTTTCTGCTTTATAACAAAGTGAATCAGTTATACATATACATATGTTCCCATATCTCTTCCCTCTTGCGTCTCCCTCCCTCCCACCCTCCCTATCCTATCCCTCCAGGCAGTCACAAAGCACCGAGCTGATCTCCCTGTGCTATGGGGCTGCTTCCCACTAGCTATCTACCTTACGTTTGGTAGTGTATATATGTCCATGCCTCTCTCTCGCTTTGTCACAGCTTACCCTTCCCCCTCCCCATGTCCACAAGTCCATTCTCTAGTAGGTCTGTGTCTTTATTCCCGTCTTACCCCTAGGTTCTTCCTGACATTTTTTTTTCTTAAATTCCATATATATGTGTTAGCATACGATATTTGTCTTTCTCTTTCTGACTTACTTCACTCTGTATGACAGACTCTAGGTCTATCCACCTCATTACAAATAGCTCAATTTCATTTCTTTTTATGGCTGAGTAATTAGATCACTCCCTAACACCATACATAAAAATAAGCTCAAAATGGATTAAAGACCTAATTGTAAGGCCAGGCACTATCAAACTCTTAGAGGAAAACATAGGCAGAACACTCTATGACATAAATCACAGCAAGATCCTTTCTGACCCACCTCCTAGAGTAATGGAAATAAAAACAAAATTAAACAAATGGGACCTAATGAAACTTCAAAGCTTTTGCACAGCAAAGGAAACCATAAACAAGACCAAAAGACAACCCTCAGAATGGGAGAAAATATTTGCAAATGAAGCAACTGACAAAGGATTAATCTCAAAAATTTATAAGCAGCTCATGCAGCTCAATAACAGAAAAACAAACAACCCAATCCAAAAATGGGCAGAAGACCTAAATAGACATTTCTCCAAAGAAGATATACAGACTGCCAACAAACACATGAAAGAATGCTCAACATCATTAATCATTAGAGAAATGCAAATCAAAACTACAATTAGATATCATCTCACACCAGTCAGAATGGCCATCATCAAAAAAATCTAGAAACAATAAATGCTGGAGAGGGTGTGGAGAAAAGGGAACCCTCTTGCACTGCTGGTGGGAATGTGAATTGGTTCAGCCACTATGGAGAACTGTATGGAGGTTCCTTTAAAAACTACAAATAGAACTACCATATGACCCAGCAATCCCACTACTGGGCATATACCCTGAGAAAACCATAATTCAAAAAGAGTCATGTACCAAAATGTTCATTGCAGCTCTATTTACAATAGCCCGGAGATGGAAGCAACCTAAGTGTCCATCATCGGATGAATGGATAAGGAAGATGTGGCACATATATACAATGGAATATTACTCAGCCATAAAAAGAAACAAGAGTCCTTTTAAGAGGGATTAGTCACAAGGAGATATGAGGAGAGAAGCAGGGGGTCAGAGTCAGAGGGAGATCTGAAGATGCGATGCTGCTGACTTTGTAGATGGAGGGAGGGGCCACAAGCCAAGGAATGCAGGAAGCCTCTAGACGCTGGAAAAGGCAAGGGAAGGGATTCTCCCCTAGAGTCTCCAGAAGAAACCAGCCTTGCTTTAGCCCAGTGACACCGATTGTGGACTTGTGACCTCCAGCGCTCTAAAAATGTACACTTTTATGTTTTCAGCACCTTATTTGTGGTAATTTGTTAAAGCAGCAATAGGAGATAAATACACCATCACTCCTCCCTTCCAGCAAAATCTAAAGTACTAGGTGGGGAGTGTAAGAGGGTGGAAAAGGAAGGGTCAGGAAGGACTCCCTGGGATCTGGCTGGGATGAGAGCAAGGATCTGTAGACTTTGTCCAAGAGGTCACAAACCAGTGGTTGGGAGCCAGGGAGAGTGGGCACTTAGGCAGTGACCCTCCACCTCCACCTTCTGCCTTGGCAGGAGTTCCCCTGGCCTGGGGGCATGAGAGCCCTCATGCCAGTGACCCACTAGAGTGCCATTGTGTGTCTAATGCAGGCACCGTGGCTAGTGTGTACTGAGCACTTGGTAATCTGTGTGCCAGGTACCGTCCAAGGGCTTTATATACTCAATCTCATTTAATAATCCTGGCAACCCTGATTATCATCCCCCTTTGCAGATGAGGACCTGAGACTCAGAGGGGTTTAAAAAGTCACCCAAGGGGCTTCCCTGGTGGCGCAGTGGTTGACAGTCCACCTGCCAATGCAAGGACACAGGTTCGTGCCCCAGTCTGGGAAGATCCCACATGCCACGGAGCGGCTGGGCCCGTGAGCCATGGCTGCTGAGCCTGTGCGTCCGGAGCCTGTGCTCTGCAACAGGAGAGGCCACAACAGTGAGAGGCCCACGTACCGCAAAAAAAAAAAAAAAAACCTCACCCAATAACAATTTGATACCTATCTCTGAGTTCTTTTACAGGAACTAAGGCCCCCACCCAGGTGGAAGACGGTAACTTCAGGCTGAGCCCAAGCACA